CACACACACACACACACACACACACACACTTATATTAAATATAAAAGGGTTTGTTTGAAAAAATACATGGTATGAAAAATGATAGCAATATACTTATCAGAATATAAGAATTGAAATACATTATGTACATGTCTTAAAATGTCATAAGGAGCCCCACTATTGTGTAAAATTGTTATATACTAGTTTTTAAAAGGGATTCAGATTATAGAGTCATTTTTTCTTTCCCTTTATGCACGACTGCTTTTACAATCTCTGCTAGTGAAGAGACTGCCAGGAAATGTCTGGGTAGAAATCTACTCATGTTGCTGCTGTCAAGCAAGGCTCCTTGGGGGAAGAGATGAAACGTTTATGTTCAAGTTGCCTGCATGAGGGTTAACAGGGTGATCGCTTCAGCTAACCCATGCCATGCATAACATGAAAGTCCTTTACAAGTAGAGGGCACCTGTTTTCAGGACTGGAAGATGGATTGGCATTATATATTTTATTATTAAAAAGGTGACGCTGGAGATGATTAAGTTTCTAGGAGCCAGCCAGTGCATCAGATAAGAGGTGGCTGGCTTTGACTGGGTAATTTCACTACTGTGTAGCAATCTGAAAATGAGAAAAATGTCATGTCCAAAGAAATTCATCAAACCTTTTTTTTTCCACCATGAAATATTTGCTAGCAACATAAAGCCAACAGCATGACTCAAGTAACAGAAATAAGGCAAAGATTCCATAAGAAAATCAAGTAGAAATTTGCCATTACTAGAGATATAAGGATGAGTAAGAGGGATCACTTTCCCCAAATTTTAACTATATGTGATCCACATGCCGTGACATTGTTCATGCAAAAAAACAAAACAAAACAAACAAACAAACAAACAAACAAATAATGCTGGCCAAGGACAATCAGAGTTCTAACTTTTATTTTCTTCTGACCTCCCCACATTATCTACTAATAACTATGCTTCTCTTTTAAAAATAGGAAAAGAATGTAATATTTTAGAAGTGATTTTAATAAAATGGCCACAAGCATTCCAACTCTATAGGAGTATCGCAGACTGCAATGGGAAATATCAGCACATGGACACTGGATTCTCACATTTCATACCCCTGCTATCATTCTCTCAGTAACTCAGACTTATTCATCCATATGTCTCCAATTTATCCTCCTGGATAACAGTGCTCTGTGCTTTGAGTATATGAGGATTGGTAAACCCCATCATTCAATGGTTTCAAATACTGCCTTCAGGTAATCACTTTATTCAAAAATTTTATTTAGACATATAAACATTCAATAGTTCTTCATTGTTCTTTCATGGTGTAATGAAACAGTCTATGCTTAGCCCTACCCTTTCCAGGTCTGGAAATACAGGAGAGATGTCCTGCCATGCCATACTTTACAATCACCTACTTATTTACATAGAACTCTTTTGTCTCCAGGGGAAGCAAATTGTACAACCAACTAATATGTAAGTCCTCTATAGGTAGGAAGCCTAACATTTTGAAAATTTAAATCATATAGGAGCACAGACAGTAGTAAATCTATTTTTCCTTCCTCTGGAAAACTTGGATTTATACTGCTGTGTTCAGCTTCAGGCACAACTATAGATTATTAACTTAATACCATGCCCAGAGTTAGTTTTTATTTATTAAGGTTTTACTAAAAAAGAGCTAATACTTGCCTTATTTTAGACTCTCATAGCCCAAATCCTAACATCAAAAAGTAGTTCTATTTGAAAAGTATCCTATGTACTTGCTGATCATACAATGATGTTTGTTTATAAAGCAAGCAATATTTAACTAAAAGCAGTAAGACCATACTTAGAAATTCAAAAACTTAAGATATCATAGTCAATAAACAGAGCACATTTCGGAGCCACTGCAGGGCACAAGCTCAGAGAGTATTGTCAGTGCAGATATTTGTAGATCCCTACTGGGTTTTGAAGGGTGGGTTGGATTTTTCTGTAAAGAATGTTCAGATACTGGAAATCCAGCCAAAAGCAAATAACAAAATTTATAATGATAGGAGTACATCTTTACACACCTGCTCCCTTGAAAGCTGTTATAATGGAAAACAAGATGTTACATAAAAAAATCCCTTCTCTTTGTAGTTGTTTTTCCCATGGCTGTGACCAAATGTATGGCTAGAAGTGACTTTAGCGAATGAGGATATTTTGGGTTCATGGTTTGGGGCACAGTCTGTCATGGTTCAGATTGCTGCCAGCTGTCATCTGGATGGATTATGAAACAGAAGAAAGAAAGAAAGAAAGAAAGAAAGAAAGAAAGAAAGAAAGAAAGAAAGAAAGAAAGAAAGAAAGAAAGAAAGAAAGAAAGGAAGGAAGGAAGGAAGGAAGGAAGGAAGGAAGGAAGGAAAGAAAGAGGGAAGGAAGAGGGAGAGAAAGACCAACTGACCAACACCTAGATGGCTTTCTTCTTCCACCTCACTCAGTACAGGAGCCCCTCCCATAAGAGGATGTCTCTTACACTCAAGATGAATCTTTTTCCTTCAATTAATCTCTAAAAAAGAACTCACAGACACACGCCAAAGCACACCTCATTATAACACTAGTGCTTTCTTCATTCAATCCCTATGACAATAAAAGCTCACCATCACACAATTGACATGAAAGTACAACCTGTTACCTTGCCAGGCTAATCTCTATATCCTTCCAATTTTAGTGTGCATACTATAAATGTGAGTATTGTAATCAATTCCTATTTCATCTTCCAGATCTCAAAACTGCCAGATACCAGGAGTATGGTTCAGTGCTCAGCTGTGGGTGCCTGTCTCTGCTTCAAACAGCTACCAGATAAAGGCTTATGTTTATTTTTTTGTGACCAGTTGTGGAGAGGGAGGAGGTATAAGCAAAGGAGCCAAGATGGTGCTGAAGAAACCCGCAAAAACAGTTGACCTGACCTAATGAGCATGTGGGTGCCAGCTAGGAGGCCAGGGCAGTCTAAGGGACCTCTAACAGTGGAGCCAGTCTTTAACCCTGGAGCACAAATAGACTTTGGGAGCCCATTCCCTGTGGAGGGATACTATTGCAGCCCAGATACAGCAAAAAGGGCCTAGGCCCTCCCCCAAATGATATGACGACATTGAAGGTCCCCTGTGGAGGGCCTCACTATCCCTGGGGAGGAGTTGGGGGATCGACTGGGGGGAGGTTGGTGGGGAATATAGGAGGATGGGAGGGCAAGGGCTAGAAGGGGGATGGATATGTAAATATAAGTAGTAATTAAAGAGTGAAAAACAAAACCTGCCAGATAAAACTTGAATCAACATATACCCAATCAATTGAGTTACACATAATTATATAAAATCATGCATCACACACACATATATGTAAACAACAAATAAGAAAGAACATACTGCTGCATTTCCCACCCATAATTATTGACAAAGTCCTAGTGAAGAATAACTTCTTTCTTTTACCACTAAGTTTGTCCTTCATTCTTGTCCTGATTAATACCTGCTTAGGATTCTTTTCCTGAAGAATCTTATATGTAAACTCTTCACCCATTTTACTCATCAGAAATAAAATCAGTCCTCCCCAAGTAGCGCTATGTGAGGTCATATTTAACCAATGACAATTTAACCAATGAAACCATTGTTTAGTCTCTTGTCAGAAGGGTTTCTTCCCCTTGAAGTCTGGGGTGAAACAAGAAGGGATTGGAAGCTATTAGAATACAAAGAAAAAAACAAACAAATAAATAAGCCGTAACGAGAAGTGGAGAGTTACCCTCCATCTGCTGCTTGTTTCCTAAGCAATGTTTCTGCTTTTGAAGTGGTGTCATATGTTAGCTGTTCTCTAAGATGGCCATCACTGTTGCTTGGTCATAGTTAATCCTGTGGTGGGTCATTCCATGTTCTGTTCATCTCAAGGTCTGTAGAGTGAAAGAGTATATAAAAAGGATAGTGTGGTTTAGAAGTTCTAGCCTGGTACCTGTGTTTCTTATATTTGAACCTAGTTTCTTGGTCAAAACAAGTGTGACTTTTTTGAGATCCCATATGATAAGGTCTGCATAATGTAGAGGTCTAGAAAGGTCAATTCATTTCTAAAGTAATTATTACAAATAGGAAATCTAATCACACTCCATTCTGGATTGAATCCATTGCAATCAAGCTGTTACTAGATGTCCATCTGGTTCTCTTAGAGAACATTTCCACTTACCAGATCCCAGTACCAGTCTGTGCTGTTGGAAAGTGAGGAAATCAGAAATGGTAATAGCCACACCATCCTTGGTGAGATAATTCATGCCTCTGACCTATATACAGCTCCTATTTCTATTTCTGCACCACAGTCCTCACATGAACATTTAAAAGCATAGGGTTGGTAGAAGCAAAAAAGTTAATATCCTCACAAAGAGATATTCTGTCCATTTAATTATCAAGGCTTTGTTTTTCAGTGGATGCCCTTTGATGAGCAGTCACAAGAAACACAAACGCACACATTCTCTGTGCTTATCCATGGAGGCCCATCGCTTAGGCTATGCATCTCTATAAATCCTTGTCCCCACTTTAAACATTCAGAAAATCGTATCACATTTTTATTTATCAGTAAAGAGAGTTTCATAACTCAAAAACAAAGGGAAAATATTATCACAGAATCTTTTGCAAATTTTAAAATAAACTAGAAAGAAGTTAGAGCCACTGATAACTTTAAAATCAGAATTCAGAGACAAACTGTATTCAGTAAAAAGCAATAAATTTCATTAAAATATAATTTACAAAAGCAACTCAAATATAAAGTACATAGAAATGAATATAACAAAATAAAGAGAAGAGGTATATTGAGAAAATTATGAAGCTGGATGGTGGTGGCACACACCTTTAATCCCAGAACTCCAGAGTCAGAAGCAGGTGGATCTATGTGAGTTTGAGGCCAGCTTGATCTACAAAGCTACACAGAGAAATCCTGTCTCAAAAAATAAAGAAAGAAAATTATAAAATGTTATGGAAAGACAAAAAAGAAAATTCACGACTGAGAGATGGCTCAGCAGGTACAGGTAGCAACCCCTCAGTCAGACAACCTGAGTTCAGTCCCCAGGATGCAGATAGTGGAAGGAAAAAACCAACTCCCACAAGTTGTTCTCTGACCGCCACAAGTACTTTGTGGTATGTACACACACACACACATACACACACACACACACACAAAAAAAAAAAAAACAGACAACACACATAAATATTCACACATACAGTAAATACAACTAATTTTTTTGTTAATAGTTGTTAAATAAAATAATATATATATATATATAATTCATTCATAAGCATAAAATTTCACCATTCTAAAATGATCAATTTCCCTAAGAACAATTTCTATATTTGTGCTACTTATAGCAAAACCTTATTTAGTTTCCAAGAAAAAATATAATTTTTCTTGGAATTAAACAAATTAATTCTTTTTTTTTTTTTTTGGTTCTTCGAGACAGGGTTTCTGTGTGTAGCTTTGGAGCCTATCCTGGCACTCACTCTGGAGACCAGGCTGGCCTCGAACTCACAGAGATCCGTCTGCCTCTGCCTCCAGAGTGCTGGGATTAAAGGTATTCGCCACCAACGCCTGGCACAAATTAATTCTAACATTAGTTGAATCAATAGCTGCTTGATATTTCAAAACTAATTCTAAAACACAAACTAGCTACAAGGTACATTTTCCTATTAGACTTGGGACTTTATATGGTTGTAATAAACTCTAGACAGTGGTGGTACATGCCTTTAAACCCAGCACACGAAAGCAGAGTCAGGTGGATCTTTGAGTTCATGTCAGCCTGGACTACAGAATGAGTTCCAGAACAGCCAGAGCTACACACAGAAACCCTGTCTCTAGCCTCACCCCAAACAAAAGGATTGCAGTAAGTGTAGCACTTACATAGGACCTGAGGAGCAGAAAAGTAATGACAATGGACTAGAGCCAGAAACATTCGTGTGGGGATTATGGTGTATGAGCAATGTGGAGATGAAAAGTTCACACACAAAAAGATGTGGTTCAGTTATCTAGTCGTGGAAAATAAAATCTAGTACATTGTTTTACAACACTAGAAGAAACAACCCCCAAAGACTTTGACTATCAAACTTAGGAAACCAATTCTGTGATGTGCTTTAGAAACATCTAACCAAATATCTCTAGGAAGCTGTGGAAGCAAATTTTTTCAAAGATAGTAAAAAAAGAAAAGTGACATGCTTGATCATGAAACAATTTTATGTTTATAATATAAATTTTTATCATGTACAAAGTTTCACATGGTCCAAAATTTGTACCAGATATTTTGTGTGTGTAAACAAATTATGGAACACAATATATATATATATATATATATATATATGTATATATATGTATATATATAAATATATATGTATATATATACGTATATATATACATATACATATATATATATGAGTTTATATCAAAGAAATTTAGTCTGTATAAAACAAGACTGCCAGCAAGTCAAGATTTTAGAGAAAAAGTAATTTAAAGAGAAAAGATTTAACTGAATTGAACAGATCATTCTTTGAATGTTGGAGAAACTACTGACCAGCCTACAAAAGCTGCAGTTGCCCTGCCCTGAGCCAAGTTTGCCACTATGACCAGAGACTGCTGACAAGACACCTGACCAGAGACACTAATGAGGAAAAGACATCACAGCAGAGTCAGCCTCCTGAGCCAATAGAACCTTGGGAGGGGGTATAAAAGCAGGTCTAACTTCCTTAATAAACTAGTCTGCTGCACACTATGCTACTCACTGACTCCCAGTGCCTGAGTCATTAGACCTTCTCACTCCCTTCCCCAGAGGGTATCTGAACAGGGTTACCTGCAATACTAGAAGACAAAATAACTAAGAAATATGAAAATCTCACTGACTCACGGGAAATCATTAAAATATGTACAGAAGCAAAGAGAGTTTATTGTGCATGTATCAAATGACTGATAAAACTGACATTTATAAAACCAATTTGGGGAGTAAAAACTTGAAGGAACTGAAACATACATCTAAAATCCACTGAAATCCAGCCCCAAAGTTTGAACTTATAAAACTTCAGAAAAGTAATAAAGAGCCGAGAACAGCACAAATAATGAAGTAAGTTTGCATAGCAAAATACTATGAAATTAACATATGCTAACAATTTTGTTTATATTAAATTGTAATTCTGGGGTGACATACAAACGAACACATGAGATCTTTGAAGCACAGTGGAATGTAAGGAAAAGCAAGTCCAAGTTAGCCACATTGAGGGGAAAATGTAGAAGTGAAATTGTGCAGCAGAGGAAGCATATTATAACTGGTATTCTAGAAATATAATAATTATTGGAAAAGTGAGGTCTTTTATTGATTCTGTACATAAGGTAAATGGGTTTCTAGTACTAACTTTTGGTAAACAAGATGTGTACTATGTCTTTGAAAAATTTATTAATGGTGACCACAGAAATAGTACAGTTTGTAAAATAAAACTTGGAGTGGTTGAGAGGCAAAGGGTCTATTTTTCAGATGGTTAATGCTAAGCAACATTCCTGAGAAACTGAGGACAATTCACTTGCAAACTTTATGATTCAGGTGAGAGAATGACGAGTCAATGACAGGTGGTATGGAAAAGCAAGAGAGAAACGGGTTCAATTTAGCAGTAAAGCCACCGATAGGGAAATGTGTTATATACCAAGAACAGAAAGAAAATGTGGGCCAGGTTTATACAGTTTGGAAAATCATGTTTGGAGTCTGCTGGTAGATGTTGAGATATAAGCTTGCATCGTGCCTTTGTTTCCGGTGAAAGCGGAAGCTGCTGGAATCTTCTATCATTGCCTCTGAAATTGATTCTGGTGGGACTCACAGGATGCTGTCACAGGATGCTGAGTTGAAATAATAATATGTTGGGGTGCTTGTTAGAGAAGGGAGTCCAAAAAGCACTAATGGCCTTACACTGCTATGCCCTCTGAGGTCCACATTTGCACCTCTGTGCAGACAATTGTCGACTTCGTGTACTGTAATATCTCCCTCTTGAAAATGGGTGCTTCCAGAAAATGAAGTCTTAACCAGGAATTTGAGGGAACAGCTTTGTTTGGGCAAAAGACCATCTTTAGCTCCCCTTGGAAACTGATTCCAAGAGAAATGTAGGAGGGACACACAAACAACTTGGAAGGTATGAAGAGAGGTGGTGCTCACTTTTAGAATTTATGGTCCTAGAAGTATACACCTGAGAGATGAACACCAGCTGTCACACAGTACATAATAAGAGGGCCTCCATGTCAGAAATGATAAAGCAATTCATATCTGATGGCTTCAATTTTCAGTTTGAAATATGAAGCTAGGTCATCAGCAGAGAGTGATGAAGAGAGGGTTTGAGAAGGGAATTAGATTTGAGGTGCTTATCTTGAACTATGACAAAAAGAGCAGTTAGAGCCACCTGGACAAGGTCCTAGAGAATTCTCTCAACTTAGTGACCATGTGAAAAAGCAGAGTCTGTTATGTTTTTTAACTTCCTCAGATGGAGTCATGTGCCTCTGGGACTATTGGTAAGGAAAGGGATCAATGATTTCAATTGGGAATGGACATTTTAACAATATCTAAGAAAATAATAAAGCAACACATTGAATGTGTTTGTGGTTTGTAGCCATTGACTTCATGGAGATTTACTAGAGGTGCAATAGGAAATTAATGCCAGTTGCTACTAATATTTAAAATCAACAGTTTTTAACCTTCTTTGAAAGAATAACTCACATGTTGAAGGAAAAATAGAAGTATAAAACTCCTCAATCAACAGTTCTGAACATGTATGACTATACCCTACTTAAAGGATTTAAAAGTGACTGAAGTGACAATGCTTAAGAGTAAATTTTCTTTAAATTCTCCAAATACATTCAACTATTCATTTCAAAATTATAGTTCCTAAAACATCTTTTCCAATTAAAGAAATATGTCTCCATATGTCTGTGAGCTATGCACATCAATATACCATATTTTATTGATTTATAACTCATATTCTCATTTAGCATCTCTGGTATTAGAAAAATTTTATAACTAATAACATATTGTACTTAATGAAATGTGATGGATCAAAGAAAAATGTCTAAAGACCTTACTATTTTCTTTAGAAGAATTTATATTCCTCTCTCTTAGTTGCTTGTTGGGCCAGATGTAAAGGTGACTCTAGAGACAGACCAGTTTAACAAAACCTAAAGCCTTATTATTTGGGAGTCATTTTACAAACATTTTTAAAGTAATAAAATTATGCACTGACATGAATATTTTTTAAAGAATGAAAGTGCAAGCTACAAGCTTTTCAAAAGGTAAATATTACCACAAACACCAGAGAACCCATAAACTAAAGAAAATGTTTGGTTACAAAACTGTATGGCATCTCTTCATGAAGCTTGCATCCTATGCATTTTGGACACATACTCATTGTTTATAAGACTTCACAAGACAACAATTTTACAATATTGTTTTTGATAGAAAGAAGGGCTTAGATTGTAGTGCCTGTGGCTAGCATATAGAAAGATAATTTAATCTTCTGCAATGGTTGACTGAATTTAATTTTTCTTTGTTATTAATAATCTACATGCTTTATTTTTAGCTTCAAAATGAATTACTGGCAATGTCACTTAAACTGTAAAGACTTTTTAAGAAGTATTTTATCAAAGACAATTTTAATATGAGTTCCCAGATTTGGAAGACTACTTTTTTTCCTAATCCAGTAACAGCTATTATAACCTTGCCTTCCCTCTATCATTGGCTTACTTCCTGGGACAACCACCTTCAAGTAGGAACAGTGTCCACCCAGTAAGTTCTCAGACCCTCAACCTCTGTTACATTCCCTTGATAAATCCACATATATACTAAACTAATTACAATTAGCCATGGAAGTCTGAGAACCTCATAATTTTAAACTAAGCTCAAACAAAATAGTTTCTAATTTAAATTATCACTAGTCATATTCCCCAAATAGCTGTAGCTGTAGCCACTGGACATGAGCCAAGACCTGAGCAGGTGGGAACATGGAAACAGAGTAGCAAAAGCCTTTAGCCTTAGCCTACTATAATTAAGAATTCCAATAGTACAACAATTCTGAAGACAGATACTTAAGTGGAATATATTACTAGGGTCCATTTCAATTCCTTAAAACAGGTACATTGAAAGAGTAAACCAAGAACCATTGACAACTAAGCAAATCTCACTGGTAGAGATAAATAAATTATATACTGCTAAAGGGAGAAGCAGAAAAACAAAGAGGCACTCAAACATAAAACTACACATTGGAATAGGAATTCTAAAACAAAATAGATTTGAAAAGCAATAAACTTAGCCATGACAATAAAGCAATCGCTGAGAGTAAGTTTTAGTTTTAGAAAAACGAAAATATATTTTCTGTGTCCCCTGACTTTATAGCTCAAATCCCTGGGTATTACATATACAAAACTAATACTAAGTAACACACTTGAGAAGTGGAGACAGGCAGTCAGATGAGCAATAACCTGAGGTTCTAATGAAAAATACATTGCAAAGTCCCCGTATTTTTTCCCCTAATATGTTGCAACTTGAAAATGCCAATGGAGGCAGGCCAGAAGTTCAACCAATGCCTATTCACTCCACTCAAATAGTAAAGAGGAGAGTCAGGCTAGAAAATCCAAACCACGATGGAAAAGCAAAGGATTTGTCTTATTTGCACTCATACCTGAAATAGCTGTGTGGGAAGATTGGAACGCCACCCCAATAGTCTGTATGAAGGTATTCAGTGCTTCCCCCTGGGATAGAGCAGATCATGCTGCAGGGACCAGGGCTTCTCCCAAGGCTTGGCAGTCATGTCAGCAGCAGCATCTCCCATGGTGTTCCTGGATCAAGTGAGGATCCTGAACTCCATTCCTACCTAGAATTACCAAGGGTCCTCCTTCCATCACTTTGGGCTGATGACATATAAGACTAAAGAGAAGGGAGGGCTTTGATCACCTCCCAGAATTCAGTGGAAACCAGATGGTATCAATGGAGACCAGATGGGGAGTGGTGACAAGAATTGTATCTGCAGGGACAGCCAGAGAACCAGAACTGCCAGCCATGCCCAGCAGTTATAAGCTTCTGTACCATTTGGTATCTGTGAATGAAAACTAGAGAATTTAGACTTCTACCATCACTTGGCACTAATAAAGTGGGGCCCCACTGCCATTGCTGAAGGGATAGCAGAAGAAGCCAGCTAAAGGAAAATTAATAAAATCCATAACCTCACAAGTTAATGAAAATGCTCATATTTTGATACAAAAATATGAATCAACTCAAAACACAATAGACACCAACTTTAGGACAATAGTAATCCTAGAATTGTTGGACAAGTAAATATCATAAAAATTATTCAGTGCACACATACAAATAGACATACATCAGTTGAGAGAGGCAGAGAGACACAGAAAGACTCAGTAAAGCCATAGACCATGTAAAATATATTTACAGTTATCTTTGGTTATATATAATAACTACATTTTTTAAAACTCAGCAAAGAGCAAGAACAAAATAACAGAAAAAAATCAAAGGAAAATGATAAATCTTTCCGCCAAAAGCCGCTGAGCCCCACCGCCATGTGTACGCTTTAGGCCAGCCACCTGACCGAGTTAGGCCCAAATGAATACACAGAAACTTGTATTAGGTACAAAGCTTCTTGGCCAATGACTAGGACTTCTCATCTGCTAGCTCAGTCTTAATTATCATAAATCTATATATTTTATAAGACTTATCTTATCGGATGCCTTATTGGTGTACCTCCTTGCTGGTGGATCACATTGTGCCACTGGAGCAGGATCGGAGGGGAAAAGAGGGAACTTCCTGTTTCTCCTCGCTCAAATATGAGTCTCCTTGCTATGTCACTTCCTGCCTGGACCACCACTTCTCTACTACATTCCCCAGAATCCTCCCTGCCTCCTAGTCCTTTCTAACTTCCTGTCTCATTGGCCAAACAGTATTTTATTTAACAATCAATAAGATAAACATACACAGAAGTATTTCCTCCATCAGGAAAACAATAAGAAATTTGGAACTAACAACAGAAAGAATTTGGTTAATCTGGAGGAACTAGACTAGCTATAGATAGTCAGAGATCCACAGAACTACAAAAGAAAAATACTACCCCTCCTTTAGTGTGTGTGTGTGTGTGTGTGTGTGTGAGAGAGAGAGAGAGAGAGAGAGAGAGAGAGAGAGAGAGAGAGAGAGAGAGAGAGAGAGAGAGAGAGAGAGAGAGAGAGAGAGAGAGAGAGAGAGAGACTGGGATGACATTAGAGGACACACTGTGTTTAAGAAAATAGTTTTCCCTAAGGAAGTTGTGCATAACCCTAACAGATTATGTAAACTATGCTACAATAACATTCAATTTCTGTTTTAATAATTTATCATAAGACTTTAAAAATGCTATAGATCAGGTGTCCTAAAAAAAAACATAAACGCACCAGCACCAATACGGGTTAATCAAGCCTGCTGTATACCTTCCTGATGCTCTATGGGAGGTTCTATTTCCTTGACCTTTCAACTCACAGAAGCTGCTCCATCCCTTTTCTCTCTTCCAGAGCTTGGTCCCCCTCCTCTGCCCTCCCTCTCACCTTGCACTTCATGCTTTCTAGATTTCCTGTCTAGCATCTAGCATCTTCCACTTCACTCCCACTCCTCCTAGAAGAACTATTTTGTTTTGTTTTGATTTGATTTGGTTTGTTTTTTGTTTTTGTTTTCCCAGATAGGGTCTCTCTGTATAGCTCTGCCTGTCCTGGAACTCTCTCTGTTGACCAGGCTGTCTTTGAAATCACGGAGACCCACCTGCCTCTGCCTCCCAAGGCATGGGATTAAAGGCAAGCACCACCATTGCCTAGCTAAGAAGAACTCTTGCTATTTATGTGGATCCACCCAGACAAACCTTGTTAATCTTCCTTTCTGAAGATCCTTAAACAGGTCTGCAAAGGTGTTTGTCACATTCAGATTTCAGTGAATATGATGTAGACGGCAGGGAGGAGGGGTGTTATTCTTTAGATTACACAGTTTATAGAAAAGAGCAAACAAACATACAGCAACAACAACAAACCACTAGCAAAATACATTGGAAATGAGAAAAATGATATCTTCTCACACAGAAAAACACCAAATATTATCTTATTTCTCCTAAGAAAACACAGTAAAAGGAAATTAGTCTATATTTTTTGTTAAACAAAGAACAACTCAGAATTCTATACATGGTAAGTTAAAAATAAACACATGCTTTTAAACTGGTTGGAGAAATGGCTCAGAAATTAATGCAGTTTCCATGAAAGAAGGAATTCAGATGCCAAAACTCAGGAAAGTACATGGCAGGGGCTGATGTAGGTGTGGGATTTCACCTACAATTCTAGATTTGCAAGACAGAGATTGAGGATCTCCAGAGCAAACTGCCAAGTGAGATTAGCCAGATCACTGAGTTCTGCATTCAACAGAGAGACCCTGCCCCAAAGAATTAGGTTGAAGAACAGACTATTCCGAATATCAATATCATATACACATATGCATGAGCACCTACATACACATGTGCCCATACCACACCCCCCCCACACACACACATGAATAGAAGAAAAAGAATAGCTAGGAAACTTTCAGAGGCAGTAAATGAAGCTCAGTGACAGAGCACTTCCCAAGCAAGCATATTTGGTGGTATGATTTCCAGCATTAGAAAACAAAGAAAAAGGTATTTCAGATGAGCAAAAAGGTATGAAAATCTGTATTCAAAGGATCTCTTTTCAACAGAATACCTCATACAATGACCAACAGCCATGTAAACACATAACCTCCAACAAGTCAACTCTAAGTGAAATTAAAACAGTCACATGACTGACTACTGAAAAATGGATGAAAACAAAACAGAGAGAAGATAATGATAAACATAAAAGAACAAAAATGAAAATTATATCCTCTAGTGTAGCAAAAATTATATTAAATGCAAACATCTCAGTGCACCAATTAGAAAGAATTTGGAGACTCAACAATCCACTTCAAATAATAGCAGAGAAGGTTGATATAGATAAAATTAAAAAAACACATGGGATATTTCATTGATATACTTTGGCCATATCACTTGGCTACATCACTATCATATACTTAGGAACAAATAAAATTATAGGGGCAGATCAGGGCCTTAGAGAGTAATGAAAGGATCAACACACTGAGAAGATGCAGCACATCTAAACATGTGTGTACCAAACACCAGAGCTAAGACATATGGTATTATGATAGAACCCAGATAAGGAATAGAAGGACTTATAAAGACTTAAAATGTCAACTCCCCTGCTGGAGAAATGTCTCGGCAATTAAGACCACTGATTGTGTTTCCTGAGGACCTGGATTCAATTCCCAGCACTCACCTGGTGGCTCACAACTATCTCTGGCTCTAGTTCCAGGGGATATTTTACCCTTTTATGGCCTTGACAGGTATGTGATGCTCAGAGGTACTTTTTATACACATACACTGATAACAAAATATTTAAGAATACATAAAATTTCAACAACACCAGCCAACAAGGCACCAATGACATTTGAAGGGCATTGATTAAATGCATTTTCTAAACATGTGAAATCAATTAATAATCCATAGCACAAAAACTTTAGAACACATTAAAATTCTAATACATCTCTTGATCATAAAGAAATACCTTGTAGAGAACCAGCAAGCCTATGTGATAATTTCTTCTCAAAAGGACAAGAATGTTCTACCCATGAACTCTCAACTATCTAGTTGCCTGCACAACACTGTCAAAAGCCACATGAGTAGACAGACATGCCATCATGGATGGAGGAAATTTTCACAAGGCCCCAACCTAGAGAAAGACCTGAAGATAGCCAATTGTTTCTTAGGGTTGAAGAACTAGCTCTCTTTCTACCCCATTTCAGGAAAAGGAACCCATTCTTAAGTGATCATCCCCAAAATACTCAAATAAAGTCAAAATAAAGGCAATATTAACTGAACTTGGTATGTTGTAGTATATATTAAGTGGTCATAAATTTGAGAGGGGATGTTGAGGGAGACATAGGAGAAGATGGGATGTAGTGGAAATGATCATTTCTTACAACAACAAAAATATCTGATAGAATT